TCACCATTAGGTATCTCATGACATCATTCTGTAAATACTGCAAACTTTGGTTGGTGATATCACCATTGTCTGGGGGACACTCAGTTGGAAGCTCCTTTAATGTCCTTAATAAATTGCCAATTGAAATGGTACACATCTATCTATTCAGGGTCACCTGCTTTCAAACTGTTGTGTCAGCAGGAGCTGGAGCGAGTGATGGGAGCCCATGTGAACAAGAGGTAGCAATCTGATGTTGAATGTGATCCTGCTGATTATCAAACTAGTACCTAAAACATATGAGCCTCCATGCTCCATGTAGCTCGTTGAGACATAGTTGGCTAAATGGTGATAGAAGATGAGATGAGATGAGATTCTTGCTCTTTTTGGAAAGCCTAAATACACCTTAACTCATTGACTAGTACCATCACTTCAGCTTTACTTTCCTCTTTCAAATGATTACTCAGCAAACATTCTTTAGTTTCTTTATGACAAATGTAAGAGCTTCAAGTACTTGGGAAGTATTATCTTGAGCTATGAATTTTGTGATACAGAAATTGAGTCCAGGATTACCAAGACTAGCTAAGCTCTGGGGCAGCTGTGTAGCATAGTGATACAGTGTCCATATTTTCACAAAACTGAAAGAGACTTCTGGTTATCCCTTCTCTCTTGTAATGATGTGAGTCCCAGGCTCTATACTGAAAACCAGTCAAACAATTGAAAAAAAAAAAAAAGAAAGAGAAAAGAGAAGAGAAGAGAAGAGAAGACTCCCAAAAGTTATTCTGATATTTGGGTGTTGTCAAAAATGCTCCTGATTGCTACAGGATCTTGAGAAAAAGAGATAGCAGGAGGAGCATTCAGAAAATGCTCATCTGCTCTTTCAGGAACTGTAAATCCACCATAACAGGCTCAACTCGAAACTCAGAGCCTCATTTCTGATGGACTACATCTTTTACATTCCAAGATAATGTCTTTCTGGAGACTGAATAATTGTTATAGTACTCCTTTTCAAGATAGATCCTTCCTTCCTTCCTTCCTTCCTTCCTTCCTTCCTTCCTTCCTTCCTTCCTTCCTTCCTTCCTTCATTATTTCACACTTCTTTGCTTCCCATCTCCTTCAGAAATGGGTGGTGTACCATTTCATCAATAAAATGAAGCTTTAAAACCAGAACAATTTAAGATTGTTTTTAAAAACCAAAGTGTTGTATTCAGCAAAGTGTTAATAACAAAATTATTGAGAAAAATGACCCCAACAGAACTGTTTCCATTCTTTTCCTTTCTATAGTTCTATTATGTTTTCATCTCAGCACATGAACTCCCATTCCCCCATATTTATTTCACGTCTTCCAAATGTTCATAGCCAGGGGTGGGTTCTATTTTTTTTTACTTTCTGTGGGCGTGGCTTATTTTGTGGAAGTGGCTTGATGGTCATGTGACAATTCTTTAGGATTTAGCAGAGGTACTAGTCTACCAGGCTTTTAACTGCTTGAAGAACTGTACCGGTCTACCCATTTATCTTTGCAGGCACTGGTCTACTCATGAATTTTTGTAGGCACTGGTCTACCCATTTATTTTTGCAGGCATTGGTCTACTCATGTATTTTTGCAGGCACTGGTCTGCCCATTTATTTTTGCAGGCACTGGTCTACTCATTTGTTTTTGGAGGCACCGGTTTACCACTAATCTGCCTTTTACCACTGATCAGCTGTAGGGCGGCCCTTTGAAGCCCCAGGGCAAGAGTTTAAACAGTTTTTCCTTATAGCCCATCAGCTGGGACTCAGGAGGCAGCAATAGATTGGGGGTGGGGCCAAATAAAAGGTAAGACTAACGCATGGGGGGCATGGGGTGTGGGGGTCAGAACCAGTTCGGTGACATCATTTCGTCACTTCTACCGGCTTGATGGAACCGGGAGGAACCGGGCGGAACCCACCACTGTTCATAGCAGTGCAGCACTGTCTATTGACATATGATAAACATGTTTCTTCCTGATATTTCTCAAAGTATCATTGCAAAGAATGGTAGTGATTAGTAATGAAGAATAGTTATTGTCCCTTCTTCTCCAAATCTTAAGGGAATTCCAGCAAACACTGTAAAAATGATGAGCTTGGATTAAGACATTGCATTATATTAATATCTGCTTAGAAATACAGACATGAATGTGTGTGTTTGGGGGGAGGGAGAGGATTTGTGTTTCATCTGTGATATTTCATTAGAAGATCTCCAAAGTCCCTTCCAGTTCTGCTATTCTGTTAACTTTAGATAAAGTTCATTACCTTAACTTTAGATACACTTAATGAGTTAGTTGAATGGTAACATGGGAGGTACTATTTCATGTCTACAATGAGTACATATTACAATGAATTTGTTATATTCAGAACATTAGTTTTACTTTTTTCCCCAACTATGATGAGCATTTCTCCTCCCTTCACTTGTAAATTTAGTAGTCCTCTTCCAATTGTTCATAAATATTACCAATCTGGAGATTTAATCATTGCTGCTATTATTTCTCAGGTTTTCTTTCTTACAAACGAGATCACTTTTCAAAGGTTTCCTTCTTATGATGTCCTAGATCAGTACCTGTAAGTATCCTACTACTCTCCTCCTCCTCGTACTACAACCTCCGTTTCCGGCACATTGCCACCTAAAAGATGCATTTTCTTTCATGTTTAGGCTTAAAGGTATTGGTTGCTAGTCACTTGTTATAACCTGTTCCAGTGACCGTATGTAGTCCTTTTTTTTTTATTGTAGACCTATCCTAATACTGATGTTGAAATTGAGATCAATATTATTAGTTTTAATCATAAAGTATATGAATTTCATTCCCTTCAGGAAACTTCCTTCATTCAACAAAGTCCCTTGATGAAAGTAGAAAGTTTGACTAATCTAAATATTGCAGGAGCTCTCTGGTTAATCTTGAGCTTTTTTGCCTCTCATTTCATCCAGATATAAAATAGAAACCCTCTAGGGCATATATTAAGCTATCATACATCTAGGGTGTGAAAAGAGAAGTGGCTTTATTCTCTCAGAAAATATGGATAAGATAGAGATAATGCTCAAATCACATAGAGACATAGGAAACTGATGGCAGAAATGTTTTGTCTGTGTCATATGTTTATCCCCAGCGAGTTTTAACTCAGTTACTGATGACTGATCCACTAGCTCCTCTGGAAGTTGGTTACGGATCCACTACTCTTTCTGTGAAATAATAAAATTAGTTTTGAACTTCACTCTTGTCACTGTAAGATTATATCCCCATGTTCTTATGTTGTATTTAATATTGAGAATATTGTCTTCTAGAACTTTATTCACACTCTTTAATTCATTTAAAAGTTTCAGTCATGTACCCCCTTTCCTTCTGCCCTCTAGGATGAATATATTCGTTTGCTCTAATATTTCCTGATATATTTTCTCTCTGCTCTTGTAGCCTTTTTGTTGCCCATCTCTGGACTCTCAACCTTATCGATACATTTTTTTTAAAGTGAGGTCTCCAAAACTGAACACAATATTTCAAATATGGTCTGATTAAATGTTACCTTAGCTGAATGTTAAGTTGCCACAAGTAGGTCAGTGTTTCCTAGTTGATACAATCTAGGGGCATTTGTTAGTGACCATATTGCAGGTGTCCAGAAGAAAAAATAAGCACTAATTTATATTATATTTATGTATAATTTATATGTATACATTACAACAGCTGTCCAATTCTGAAATAGAAAAATATTGACAGATTCTAACTCTCGCTGAAGGTTCATCACTCATAATTACCAGCACACTTTGGCTCTGGCATTTGCTGTAAAGGAGATCAATGAACATTCTGGGATTTTACCCAATATTAGCCTTGGTTTCCATATTGCTACTCACTATACTGTGACAATAACAACTTATCATTTAGCAATGGAATTTCTATCTACAAAGGATAAATTTATACCCAACTTCAAATGCAATGACCAGACCAACACAGTAGCTGTCATTGGAGGACCAGATATTAAAACCTGTCTCAACATGGCAATCCCTCTATGCAACTACAAAGTTCCTCAGGTGAGACAAAAAATGGATCAATATGAGTTGCTTGCCAGCTATTTATTATATTCAAAACATAGGTCACTAAAATGAAAATTTGAGAAAAACCATGAATAATAACATCTTGAAAGGACTGTCCCTTTTTGCTTGATGACCAACATGGCAGATGTCATCTAAGACTAATTTTAAGCACCCTATTTTTGTATCCCACTCAAACCAAGATATTGGATTAAATAAATACACATTAATTGGTTTTTATTATCATTTTTATTTTGGAAGCGATCCTTCATTCCTATGTTCTTCTGACTTTCTCCATTTAGATAGCATATGGATCTGCTCCATTGATTAATACTGAAACAGCAATGTTTGTCAAATGGATGTTCCCAGATGAAACCTATCAATTGAAAGGAATATTGCACTTATTGTTGCATTTTGGATGGACCTGGGTTGGGTTAGTTTCTCTGTTTGAAGGAGAAAGAGAAAGATTCATTCAGAAGAGACTTTCCATGTTTTCAGAGAGAGGAATCTGCTTTGACTTTATAGAATGTCTTCCCCAGATGAGGTATGGTAATGCAGCTGCTGAGTGGATAGAAAACGCAGGTAAAATATTCAAAGTGATCATGGAGAGTACAGTCATTGCAGTTATATTAAGTGCTGAAAATGCAGGCTTGTTGCCTTTGAGACTCATGATCTATTTTTTCAATTATGATAATATTCCAAAGGAGAGAACGGCCAAAATTTGGATCATGTCAGCCCAGATGGAATTCACATCCATTCTAATTCATAGACAGTTGCCCATTGATTTTCTCTATGGTGCACTTTCTTTTGCAATTCACTCAAAGCAGCTGACCGGATTCCAACAATTTATGCAGAAGAGAACCCCAAACTTGGAAAAAGACGATGGGCTTATTAGGGATTTCTGGAAAAATGCATTTGAATGCTCCTTCTCCAGTGATATTAGAGATGAGAATGCTGAAAGGATCTGCACTGGAGAAGAGAAGCTGGAGACTCTTCCTAATTCTGTCTTTGAGACCACCATGAATGCTCATAGTTACAGCGTTTACAATGCCGTCTATGCTGTGGCACATGCTCTGAAGGCCATGCGCTCTTCCAAAGTCAAAGGGGGTCAAAAAATGGATGAGAGGAGATGGAAGCTCTTCCTCCAATCACCTTGGCAAGTAATGTTGTGTAATGAAAAATTCGGGGAAAATTAAGAATAAGAATAGGTTTTCGGTTTTTGTTCTGTTTTCTTTTGTTTTAACTATTATAAAGCTTTACAGATAGTTTTGAAAACTATATAGAAATACTGGAAACTTTCATATCAAAGAAAATAAAAAATAAATATAATTCTAATCCTTAAATGTAGAGACTGTTAGAAATATGTAACATTCCAACTTTCTTTTATGTCTAAAATGGTTGTGCAGGATCTTATTCAGTCCATTATATTTGACAATTTTTAATGTAGAAACTTGAAAACTACTCTGCTACTGAATAGCATTATTATTCCTCACCAGCTGAATTTTGGAGTTACTGAGTTTCAAAGATCCCAAAGGTGCTTCTTCAAAAGGCAAAGGAACTTTCTTTATCTTTCTTGAAAGTGTTTTGCTTCTATTCAGAACTGAAGAAGCTTCTTGGATGAGAAGGAAAACATCTTCAAGGAAAAACAAAGAAAGTCCAGTTGCCTTTTGAAAAAAAACACCTTAGGGACAACCAATGCTTGGATGACTGAAAATCTCCTTAGATATTAAGATTCTAAGGGAATTATAATAATAAAATAATAAGAAATCTTGTGAAAATAGGAATAGTATTACTCCAAGTGAATAGCAAATTTGTCAATGAATCGCATGAAGAAAATCTCAAGTTTATTTAGGCCAAATAGAAAGAATCAAACTGAAATTTTCACATCTCCTTCAAAGATTCCTGATAAATTTCCTGGGGTTGTTTCCCCCCTCTTTTCTTCTTCTTCCTTCAGCTCCACCGTTTCTTGCAACAAGTCTCCTTTAACAACAGTGCTGGAGTACAGGTTTCTTTTGGCCCCAATGGGCAATTAGAAACTAGATTTGATATTTTCAGTTGGGTCACATTTCCAAACAAGTCCTTTCTGAAAGTCCAAATTGGAAAAATCGACCCCCTGGCTCCCCCAGAAAAACTACTCACCATTTCTGCCAAGGACGCTGTTTGGCCTCTCATGTTTAATCAGGTATGTCTCATTTTTCCCTTTTCATGGACTAATAATTTTGCTATGTTAAACTATCCATTTTACAGTACTCCTTTTTCAGTCAAGCCTGTTCAAAGACCACATTATAGATGTTTGATTTGATTTGACACCAACAAGAAATGGGACCTTAAGGAGAACATACTCAGAGGGATCTCAAGTTAAAGGTTTTCCCACATCAGCATCTGGTACATTGCCCGAAACTAATCCTTAGAATTTTCATATGCATAATTGATGAAAAGTACAATCCACCAAAAATAAATTCTTTCTTAGAATTCTGATTTTATTTACGAGCAGGCATTACCTCTTTCCATCTGTAACGAAGAGTGTCCCCTTGGCCATAGCAAGATAAAAGTAGAAGGAAAATTATCCTGTTGCTATGATTGCAAAATATGTCCAGAAGGGAAGATAGCCGACCAATTAGGTAAGGAAAGGATTATATTAAATGTATCAATGATATAATAGATATAAATGGGGGTTTATTTTTAATAAATGAATATTTTTAACAAATATTATGGTGATTGAAAATCTTGAGCTTCACATCATGTTAATGTGAATCAATGAAATAATTAAATTAATTTTATACTTCATAATTTGCATTGGTAATTTTTTCCATAGTTTTTACTTGTTTTTATTTCCTATTCTCCCGAAATGATTGATTGATTAATTGATTGATTGATTGATTGATTCTATTGATTGATGTCTATTATTGCCTATCACATATAATATAACCTATGTGGCTTACCACAATATTTAGAAACACAAATAATAATTTAAACAAAAGAACCTTGCCACCAGGTACCAGAAATTCAGGCTCCTGAGTCAATCCACATTCTACCATAATACTTTAAGTGAATAACAAGGGTTTCCAAGCTTGCTACAAGGATAAAAGGGTAGGAAACCCAAATAATTCAGATGGAAGAGTATTGGAAAAGGCTGAACGCTATAGACTAGACTGAACTCTAAACTCCCTGACGGCAATATTTCAGACAAGATCTGGAGCATGCCTAACTACCAGACTTATTGAGAAAGACAGATACCATTGAAGAAAGGTGATCTCACCTATCATTTCACCTAAGGACATCCAGGCATTTAATGATGATAACCAGAAAATTGAATTGCAAAGAGTAAGCAACTTGGAGCCAGTATAGCTCATGCAGAAATAAGAAAACTAGGTGAGATAATTGCAGGTCCATCGCATTGCAGATCAGTTATGGTTTTTGAAATGATCTTTGAGGGCCACACCATATAAAAGGCATTCTAGTTATCAAATTGGGATCTCATTATGTCTATTGAATACTGTAAAATTGGAGCATACTGAAAATGAAATGAAGATGATTCAAACAATAATGCTTTTATGAATGGTTTCTTTTTCAGACTTAGATGACTGTTTCCCATGTCCAGAGAATCAATATCCAAACAAGGATAAGAATAGTTGCCTTCCAAAATGTATAGTTTATTTAACTTATCAAGAACCTTTGGGGATTTCTTTGGCAGTGATTGCAATCTCCTTTTCTGTCATCTCAGCTGTGGTGCTCGGGATATTCATTAAACATCAGGAAACACCTATTGTGAAAGCCAATAATAGGAACCTCACTTATATCCTTCTTGCTGCTCTCCTGCTCTCTTTCCTTTGCAGTTTGCTCTTCATTGGGCAACCTGACCAAGTCAAATGTCTCTTACGACAAACGGCCTTTGGCATCCCCTTCTCTGTAGCTCTTTCTTGTATATTGGGGAAAACAATCATAGTGGTCCTTGCTTTCATGGCCACCAAGCCTGGATCCAAAATGAGAAAATGGGTGGGGAAAAGGCTGGCTATCTCTATTGTCCTATCTTGCTCCCTGACACAATTCTGCATTTGTGTGGTGTGGCTCACAATTTCTCCTCCCTTCCCAGATTCTGACATGCACTCCATGGCTGAAGAAATAGTTCTACAATGTAACGAAGGTTCAACCACCATGTTTTATACAGTGCTTGGCTTTCTGGGGTTCTTGACTGCTGTCAGTTTCACTGTGGCCTTCCTAGCCAGAAATTTGCCTGACAGCTTTAACGAAGCCAAATTTATTACCTTCAGCATGTTGGTCTTTTGCAGTGTCTGGGTATCATTTGTTCCCACCTATTTGAGTACCAAGGGAAAATACATGGTGGCTGTTGAGATCTTCTCCATTTTGGCTTCAGCAGCTGGATTACTGGGGTGCATATTTTGCCCCAAATGCTATATCATTGTTCTGAGACCTAATCTGAATAAGAAGGAGCAACTAATGAAAAAATGAAACTGATTTTAACACCATATCCCTTGGCTGCTTTTAGCATAATGGAATTTTTTTGCCCAATTTGAGGTTCTGTCTTTTTCTGTCCATCACCACATCAATAGGACATACAAAGCAATAATTCTGAGAAGTTCACTTCAGGAGCTAGAATGTTCCCTTAATCTTTTTTTAATGTTAGATAATGATTTTGAGCCCAAATCAGAATAGTAGGCAATAGCTAATCAAGAACAGGATAAAATATGCATGAATAAAAAAATGAATTGATTTAAGAGCCTGATTTGGGAGCCTGGGTGGCTCTGCAGAGAAGGCACTGTAATTTAACACCAGCTGTCTGCAATTAAAGTAAGTTCGAATCTTGCCAGGCTCAAGGTTGACTCACCCTTCCATCCTTTCTAAGGTAGGTATATTGAGGACCCAGTTTGTGGGGGCAATAAGCTGACTTTGTATAAAATATACAAAAGTATGAAGGCTATTGCTTAACGCACTGTAAGCCGCCCTGAGTCTCCGGAGAAGGGCGGCATATAAATACAATTTTTTAAAAAAAATCCTGCAGCCCATGAGCTTCACAACATCTCTGTCAAAATATTCCTCATTCTCCTCAGTAAAAGAAAGGCAGGCCATAAGAAAGGGATTCAGAATATCTTTTCCTCCATTTTGCTGGGATTAAATTGATCTTTCGAATAGTTTTGAGAGATTTTCAAGGTTTTTTGACATTTACTTCCGTAAAAATAAAGGTCATTCCATAAATGCAAGGGATTCGGATTTTTCACCCTGCCCACTTTGAAAGTGTGACAGAAAGCAATGATATGGCTGTATGTTTCAACATCTTCTCTGCTTTTTTTAGAGAAACAGAAGAATTTTTCTGAACATAATGTCAGACTCCATCTCTTATCAGCCAGACAAGGTACAAGGGAAGTCAGCCAATCAAGGTCTTGAACACATACACCCCCAGCCTCAGGACATTTTGTGAAATTTGTAGAGCCAAGCTGACACATGGTACTCTCTCCTTAAAAAGAATGGTGCCGACATCTTAAATGAGTCCTGTCCCTTGTTGCCAATAGCTGCACCTTATCAGAAAATTTGCACCAACCTCAGATTCATTATTTAGTGTGGGCGATCTATGTGCTTCTGGAACCTCAGTTTTTTTTAAACTTGATCCTTGGCCTATGTTAGTGTGCACTAACTCAGTTTTTGACTAATCTCTCTCCTGGAAGATCTTTCTAACCCATACCTGGTCCATAGTTCTGTGCCCTGTTTAGCTTGAAGGGCGACATCCAGCAACTTGAATTGCAACTAATGTTATTAGAAATAATCATTTAGCTCCTGAAGTAGTTCTGCTATATAAATTAAAAACATGAGATTGTTTATCAATTCTGTATTTCTGTTTCCTTATTTTCTCTCCTCTTTCTATACATAAACTTATATGGACAATGACATCTTATTAAGGAGATGCAGTTATTCACGTAATTTTTAACTCAACAGTTGATGTATAAATAGTATGCCTACCTCACATTTGTCTCTCTCTGTCTCTCTCCTAAACACACACACACACACATTTATTTCAAAGAAGACACAACAATCCTTTAGTCCTATGCAAATAGGTACTTGGAGGGAAGGGATAGTCCCTATGATGTAGTTAAAAGTGGAAACACTATATCAAACCCTGCACCAGTTAACAGTGGTGTTCCCCAAGGCAGCATTCTAGGACCAACACTCTTTTTGCTTTATATTAACAACCTTTGTAATGATTTTACAAGCAGCTGCATCCTGTTTGCCGATGATGTAAAACGATTTAACACCACAAACAATTCTACTACCATACAAAATGACCTAGATTATATATCTCAATGGTCAAGCAATTTGCAACTCCAAATCTCTGCTAACAAATGCTCAGTCCTGCACATTGGCAATAAAAATCAGAACATCAAATACAAGCTAGGCAGAAATGCTCTAAAAGATGACCCACACTCTGTCAAGGACCTAGGAGTACTCATTTCAAAAGATCTAAGTCCCAGAGCTCACTGTAACAACATTGCTAAAAAGGCATTAAGAGTTGTCAACCTTATTTTACGAAGTTTTCTCTCTGGTAATGCTGTACTTCTAACTAGGGCATACAAAACATTTGCCAGATCTATCCTTGAATACTTCTCACCTGCCTGGAACCCACACTGTATTTCACATATTAATACATTAGAGAGAGTCAGAGGTATTTTACAAGAAGACTACTCAACTCCTCTGCTCGCAATAAAATGCCTTATACCACCAGGCTTGAAATTTTAGGCCTGGATAACCTTGAACTAAGCTTTCTATGTTCCGACTTAAGCTTAATACACAAGATTATCTACCATAACATCCTACCTGCTAATGACTTTTGAGATAAAGAAATTGAGTTCAGGATTAGCAAGACTAGCTAAGCTCTGGGACAGCTGTGTACCAAAGTGATACAATGTCCATATTGTCAGAAAATTGAAAGAGACTTGTGGTTATCCCTTCTCTCTTGTAATGCTCATCTTGTAATGATGTGAGTCTCATGTTCTATACTGAAAACCAATCAAACAATTAGAAACAAAGAGAAGAGAAGAAAAGAAAAGAGAAGAGAAAAAGAAAACTCCCAAAAGTTATTTTGATATTTGGATGTTCTCAAAAATGCTCCTGATTGCTACAGGATCTTGAGAAAAAGAGATAGCAGAAGGAGCACTCAGAAAATGCTCATCTACTCTTTCAGGAAATGTAAGTCCACTTTAACAGGCTCAACTCCCATCCCAGAGCCTCACTTCTGAAGGACTACATCAGTGGTTCTCAACCTTCCTAATGCCGCGACCCTTTAATACAGTTCCTCATGTTGTGGTGACCCCCAACCAGGGGTGGGTTTTAAATTTTTTTACTACCGGTTCTGTGGGCGTGGCTTATTTTGTGGACATGGCTTGGAGGTCATGTAACTGGGTGGGCGTGGCTAGCTGGTCATGTGACCGGGTGGCCATGGCTATGTGTATAGGGACTACTCAGAGGGCTGAAAAAAGTCATTTCTGACAGGTCCTCGCACTTTTGACTGATCCTCACACTTATGACCATCCTCACATTTATGCCCGTGCAACATTCTTAACAACCATGTCACTCATTTCACAACTGCTTCTTTTCACCATGGTGATAAGTTAGGGCAAAAAACGTAAAATGTGAGGATAGTCGTAAATTCGAGATCTGATCAAAAGTGCGAGGACCAGTCAAAAATAACTTTTTCAGCCCTCTGAGTAGTCCATATGCACAGAAGGACTACCCAGAGGGCTGAAAAAAGTGATTTCTGACAGGTCCTCGCACTTTTGACCGGTCTTCGCACTTATGACTGGTCATCATTTATGCCCATTGTAGCATTCTTAACAACCATGTCACTCATTTCACAACTGCTTCTCTTCACCATGGTGACAAGATCAGGCAAAAATGTAAAATGTGAGGACAGTCGTAAATTCGAGGACTGGTCAAAAGTGCGAGGTCCAGTCAGAAATAACTTTTTCAGCCCTCTGAGTAGTCCATATGCATAAAAGGATACAGCAATAGAGAGGGATGAAGGAAGGGAAGGGAAATTAGAGTAGGAGTGAGGGTAAGAGAGGGAGGAAGAGAGGAGGAGAAGGAGAAAGGAAGAGGAAGTAGGGAGGAGAAGAAGAGGGGGAGGAAGAGAAAGTAAGAAGGAAAGAAAAGAGAGAGGTGGTAGGTTTGAGGAGAAAGATTGCTGTACAATAAAAAAGATGAAAGGGAAGAAAGCCAACCCCAAACAAATATAAAGATATTAAGATAAAGAATGAATTGTTAAACTTTAAAGAATAAAAGAGAACAAATATGAATAAATAGCAATAATTAGAAACACACATACAAACATACAATGTATTATCTTTGAACAGAGTATTTGGCCGGTTCACAAATTTAAACAGTGTTTAGTCATTTCAATTAAATTTACAATTTCTATATTTCCTTTTTGCCATATTTATTCCTTATCTATTTTTTAAAAAAAACAATATTACCCTTCATCCTCATCTCTAATCTTAACCAAATTCAATTTTTCCCTTCTATTCTATATTATACCCTTTCCCATTGTCATCTATTTTTATATCCATCCTCACATTGGTTAATTATGTAATATTACAGTTGTTTAATATAAATTCAACATTTTAATATAAATCAATTAGTTATATAACTGCCTTTTTTGTATATTAATCAATATGAACATGAATATTCCAATTATTTCCATGCAAATCCAATTTCTTACAAATCAGTTAATTATATTTACCAATAATAATAAACCAAATAATTTCCCCCATATATTCCTCCAAACCACAACTTAACCATTTCTGCTTTCAACACAATATACAATTAATAGTATCTAAATTTTTACAATTCCCTAGTTAAATAGAGCTTTTTTTCTTTTGTCTTTTAAAATCTTGAACTCTCCTCTTTTTCCCTAAATTTCCCATTGTTTGCACCTACCTTTTTTGGTGAGGTAAAAGAAAAGAAATCTGCCTGCCTATTTTTCCAACGTTGCAGCAACAGCAAAGACAACAGCCTGCTTTACTTTCATTTTCGTTTTTCAGCATAGCTAGGGGAAAAAAAATCTTCTCCAGCAAGCAGCAGAGCCCTGAGCAAAACAGCTGAGAGCAAATCAGCTGAGAGTCGGGAGCCGATCTAATCAAGGGCTAATTAGCCTGTCCTGAAGGAGTCGTTTGATTCCGCTCCAATGGTACTGTGTGGGATGTTCAGAATGTCTAGATAACACATTTACACTTAGACTGATGTCCGGTCTAGTCCAATTTGCAATGTACAACAACGACCCGATCACGGACTTGTAAAGGGTCTTATCCTCAAAATCCGTACTCTCAGTGTACATATTCTTAAGGAAGTCTGTTGCCATAGGGGTATCGCATGGCTTCGCCTCTACCATGCTACACTTTTTAAGCAATTCCTGAATCTTATCTTCCTGAGAGAGCCGAAACCCCTTCTCGGTTTTTACGAATTGCACCCCTAAAAATTTGCTAATGTGACCTAATGGTTTTAGTGCGAAACTCTTACTTAGGTCCTCAGAGAACTTCTTAAGCCTGTTCTCTGATCTACAAATATATAGTATGTCATCGACGTACAACAGTACTGTTTCCCTAATGCCCTTGTTGTGGCCCCGCCCTCTGAGCCTGTCCCATCGGAGGAAGAAAGCTCCGAGCATGAGGAAGAGGAGTCAGCCAGGCCTCCCTCTCCAGGCCCCTCCCCTCTGGCATTGTTTCAAGTGCCGGCCGAGGGAGAGGAAACAGCTGCTTCGGATCAGAGTGATAATGACACATCATTCCTGGACGCACGCCTCTGAAGGCGTGATAAACGTTTGCAGCAGCTGGGGAGGCGTGCTAGGGATTAGAAGTGAGTCACTGGACCACACCCCAGAGACCACACCCCAGAGACTATATAATAGAGGGTGGTGGTCAAGGATCTTTTGTGACGAACAAAAGTAAACCTTGAATAGTCACTAAAGCCTCGTCCGGAGCTGCTGGGAGGAATATTATTCCTGTTTGGACTTTCTTGAACGTTCGTATCTTATCTGTCTGTTTGTGAAAATAAAGTCCCTTGGCAGACGGTGTGTCTATCGCTGCCAAGAGGGAGATAAGAACTGGGTGCGTTCCAAAGTGTTTCCTTAACCCTCGGCTGGCTGTGTGGTGTGTGTGTGGGGACGGGGACAGATCATCTTGTTCATCACCCCATACTCCATCGTTAACCCACGATGGACCAACAGCTGCAGCAGCAGATACAGCAGATGCTGGAGGCCAATCAGCTTCTGCAACAGCAAGTAGCACAGCTAACTGCCCAACTTGCTTTGGGAAATGCTCCTGCAGCTCCACCTCCTCCCCCTCCCCGTCCGAGATGCCCAGTGAACGTGCCAGATAGGTTTTCTGGGCAGCAGGAGATGTTTCCGGCCTTCTTGGGACAATGCCAACTGTTTATGGCGATGAGGCCGGAGGATTTTCCGGATGACCGGGCTCGGGTGGCATTTGTTATCAGCTCCCTCTCTGGCACTGCCGCCCGATGGGCCACGCCCCTGTTGTTGCAAGATAGCCCCTTGCTCCTGGACTTCCAGGGCTTTTTACAACACCTGCGCACCATGTTTGAGGACCCCCTCCGGGTGCAGACGGCAGCGAGGTGCATCAAGGACCTCCGCCAAGGCAAGCACCCCCTGCAGGACTATATTGCAGAGTTCCAACTGCTAGGCCAGGATTCAGCTTGGAATGAGGTGGCGCTGATGGATGCCTTCCAGGACGGCCTTTCCGACGAGATGCAGGACGAGCTGGTTCGTGTGGAGGCGCCACCGACCCTCGACGCGCTGGTGACCCAATGCCTGCGCATCG